AGCCCACAGTTGAAGTAGAACCCTGGACGGTGAACGTGGAACCACCTACGGCCTCGGAGGTTTACGATTGCATATGTTCTCTCAAGCGCCACCGAGCACCCGGTCCGGATGACCTTCCACACTCAGTTTTCATAGGCGGCGGTGAAGTCCTCAGTCAGCGCTTGTCCGATCTGTTTGCTTGCGTTTGGGAAAAGGAGTCTGTCCCCAGACAACTGGGGAGAGTCGGTGATAGTGCCCATTTTCAAAAAAGGGGCGCGTAGTGAGTGTGGTAACCACAGGGGGATCAGCTTGAACCCGGTTGTAACGAGACTGTTGGCGTCAGTTGTGCTTCGTCGCCTCACGGTGGCTCGTGATATACTGACCCGAGAGCAGCAAGCGGGATTTCGGCCTGGTAGGGGTTGTGTTGACCAAATCTTCACACTGCGTCAGGTGCTAGAACAACGCCACACTTATAAGCGATATCTGTCAGCCCGACGCAAGTGCAACTTAATATTCCCTGTTTATTGTCACTCAAATCACTTTTGATTGAAGTGTAAACATATCCAGGTTAGTGCATGAACTGAATGAATCAGTCCTGAATTCCATCACCATGTTCCACCTAGAATTTCTAAGTAGCTAGGAGACCTTCCATTAAAACCAATGGCAGCAATCGAGAGTGATAGAGAGACGAGATTTCACTATTAGACCGAGATGATCAAGAAACACCTATCTGTGGTTGCTCTGCGAAATCACAAATAACTAATATAACTGAAAAATGCTAATGCTCGTAAATTTCATTTGAATACAGCTCATATTTTGGCGCAGAAATACGACGTACAGTCACGTTTATTTGGAAAACAGTTTTTTGGTGATTAAGGGCGCTTATTTGCTTCCGACAAGTTCGTGTTCTTGGTGGGTACCCTGTTCAATCTTCTGAGATTAACGTCCTAATGATGAACGGTGATAGTCGTGGCACTCCGCTCCGTAGTTTTATCCTTTTTCGGCGTAGTGTCTTTGGTTTGCATGTTTTTACATCCGCTAGCAAACTTTCCTAAACCAAAATATTTCAGGTAGCTCTGTTTGTGGTAAGTGGCGAAAATCTCTTTTGGTTTCACAATTTATGACCCTTTAAGTCATTAGCGGTCTACTTCCTGCGCTTTCTAGTCGAAAAAGGGCCATCTGGTGTTTTAGGCCCGGAGGAAATCACTGTGCCTGCTAAGCATAGTCAACTGAAATAACTTTCGAACGATCTGGTATTTAGCTTTTCGTGGCCCTTGGCAAGGTTTGTCTTGTAGTGTAACACAGAGTTCAGAGTAGCCTCCTTCGATAACCCTCTAAAATAGGCTAAATGTTTTGGGTAGAAATTTTGCCAAATAATGCTTGTTGCCGTGAACCCGGTACTTGTTTTTTTCACTTTTCCCAAACATATCCAGCTTTACCATTTACTGTGACGATGGATGTATTGTTGCTGCCTTTTCAAAGAGGTTCCATCAATCGTACATTTATCCATATTCAACGAACGA